ATCTATCTATCTCAGTATTTACTATCTATCTATCCATTTTAATTTGTTCGTTATCTATGCATGTATGTATCTATCAATCTGTTCATTATCTAGCTAGCTAGTTAGCTAACTCTTTCTCTTTCTCTCTCTCTCTCTCTCTCTCTATCTATCTATCTAAACCTATTCTTATCTATCTATCTATCTATCTATCTATCTATCTAAACCTATCTATCTAAACCTATCTATCTATCTATCTATCTATCTATCTATCTATCTATCTAAACCTATTCTTATCTATCTATCTATCTATCTATCTAAACCTATTCTTATCTATCTATCTATCTATCTATCTATCTATCTATCTATCTATCTCAGTATTTACTATCTATCTATCCATTTTAATTTGTTCGTTATCTATGCATGTATGTATCTATCAATCTGTTCATTATCTAGCTAGCTAGTTAGCTAACTCTTTCTCTCTCTCTCTCTCTCTACCTATCTATCTAAACCTATTCTTATCTATCTATCTATCTATCTATCTATCTATCTATCTATCTATCTATCTATCTAAACCTATTCTTATCTATCTATCTATCTATCTATCTATCTATCTATCTATCTATCTAAACCTATTCTTATCTATCTATCTATCTATCTATCTATCTATCTATCTATCTATCTATCTATCTATCTCCTGCTGCATGTTTTTCTTGTTTGTGATATTTTGTCTTTCAATGTCAATTCGAGGACAAACCGACGTACCCCACTGTCTTTGTGTTTTTTGCAATCTGATTATCACCGATTTGTAATCCACTTTTTTTTTTTCACTCACGTATCTTATTATTTGCTTCTTCTTTATTTCATTTTTTTTTCTTATTTTTCCACCTGGGTTTTCCGTCGCCTCTTGTTAAAAAAAAACCGCCCTAGGAATCTGGGGCGGAGTTTATGCAAGACAAATACATGGAGGTGTGTATAAGTAATGTTTTTGGTGAAAATGGTGCAGTCAAAATGGCTGCCGACGACATTTAGAGGAATGCGAAGTTGCTATGTTTATTTTGGGATAAAGTTTCTTTTGGCTGAAAGACAATGGCAAACGGTGAAAATAGTGAAAAGAGGAACGAGAAACGGTTTAAAGAAGGAAAAATGAAAAGAGGAAAAAGATGTTCTTTAAAGAGGAAAAAGATGCTGAGTAATGAATGAAAGATGAAAAGATGAAGGGTTTGCGCTTTAAAGAATGAAAATAAGAAAAGAAGAAGGTGGTGCGGTTTAAAGAATGAAATATGAAACGAGGAAGATTAACGACCTAGCGTAGCCATCGAAGGCTTCTGAACAGTTTCATCTATTCGATTTCATTCACAAGACGTCGACAACACTCAACAGAAGGATGACAAACCACTTAAGTGATATCGGTTCTACAAAAAAGCACTCAGATACACATAAACAATTGCCTGATCCCATTAGAAAAGTTTTGCTGATAAGACCGTCATTCCAAAGAACTCTAATTGTAGACGACCTCTTGAGATAATGGAAGCTCTTTACATAAAACAATTCAAGCCAAGTCTTAACCTTTCCCTATTTGTCAATATGAGAAAAGTGTTGGTGGTCTTTTAAAAGATACCTCACCATTGAGTCACAATCACATTTCTGCTCGCACTGGTTAAAATTTCTACGAATCCCGCAGAATACAACTCTTCGCTATTCCTCCCCACCAAAAAAAAAAAAAAAAAAAGGAAAACTGTAAGAAGTTTTGAAAAATGAGTAAAAATCTGACACATTCAAAGAAACATGTATATACGAAAGTTTGTTGGTCATATATAGAATACTCAAATTAGATATATAGATAAATAAATAGATATGAACAGGCTTTGGGAGGTAGGTAGATAGATAGATAGATAGATAGATACATAGATACTGAACAGACTGATATATATATATATATATATATATATATATATATATATATATATATATATATATATATACATGCCAGTTGCTTAAATTCAAAAATCGTACAACTCATACAGTAGTCGCTATCACTTGACTTAAAATATTTTTGCTCTTCATTGCCTTTAAAGGAGTGCCCTTTGCCGTGCTGATGTTGCTACATGCCTTACTTCTTGCCGCATACTGCGAATTTTTTCTAAGCTCTAAACTAAACATTAAATCTGTTACGAAAAAAGAACTAAACAAAATGAACACAAAACGATCAGCTTTAAAAAAGGACTCGTAACTGGAAAAACCGAATGAAAAAAGAATGTTAACAACAAATACTTTTTCACACCCAACCCAGTTCTGAGGAATCAGAATCAACGTTGAGTTTAAGCAAACGAATGAGCCAATTGGGGTAAAGTGTCATGCAGATTTAAATTTTTCCCACTTGTGACGAATGCAGCTATCGATTTTTTTTTGCATGCTAGCATGCTAGTTAACATTCGTGTCAGTTAGCTGTTGGCTCTCACGCTGGTCAATAGAATCTTCCTGCCTATTTGTGGCAGCCCGCAATAGGCTCTCACTCTGGCCAGTACAAAATGGCTGCAAACTACATGAAAACTGCCTTAGAAGGATGAAAAAATCGCTTATTTCCACTATCGATGTGAGTTGGGAAATGCAAAGTCGGTCTTGGCCTTCTCGCTAACTTGGAGCATGTGCATGTAATTTTTTGTGCAAATCCGTCAAAAACTGCGGCAGTGCATTCGTTACACACACACACACACACACACACATCTTGCCTTTATATATATATATATATATATATATATATATATATATATATATATATATATATATATATATAAAAAGTGATTAAATAGAATGAGATAGATATTTATCAGACTGAGATAGATAAATAGCTAGCTAGCTATTGAACAGACTGATATATATATATATATATATATATATATATATATATATATATATATAGATAGATAGATAGATAGATGGACAGACAGACATTGATCAGACTGAGAATGTTAAATATTGAATAGATTGAGATAAATAGATAGATAGATATAGAAATAGACTGATATATTTATATATATATATATATATATATATATATATATATATAGAGAGAGAGAGAGAGAGAGATGTGCTGATGGTGTAATGGATTGACGAAACTGACCACAATTTTGACATAAAAATGCTGCACAAATTAAAAGAGAAAATAATTCATTAAGATGAAAATATCTAAAAATTGCTTTAATCACTAGTTCAGCCACAGTAAATTTACACCCAGGCTCTTACAACATATCACCATTCTTGGAAGATTTTCTGTTATCACAATGTCGGATATTTAAAAACAAAGATGATGGAAAGAGAAAAGAATATAGATGAATTTGGCTAGATTGCAAAACTTATTAAAAAAAATATCCTTTATAAAAATTATAAAGCTACCAGCGTCTCTCATTCATGCGCATGTGTAGTCGT